ATGGCCATGCTTTACATGAAATTAGGGTCCAGTTCTCACTATTAAATTTTAACTACGACTTTTGCCTCAAAAAACTCCTAATTACTGCTTATTAATATTTGGTAAGGTAGTTGTTAAGTTTAGGTATTGGGTAGGATTAAGAGATGTAGAATATGGACATACAGTGCTTTATAAACAGCCAATTTCCTAGTAATATGCATGCTAATAAGCAAATAATGAGAATTGGAGCCAAAAACAATGTATTTATAATATTTTATTTAGTCATTTTATGTTTTTAGATGTTTTACAAACAGACACTAAAAGTGGAAAACTGTACGTCCTTTTGCAATTTTTTACCGCAAATTAAAGAATATATTGAATAAACTAATTCCAGTGGAATTCTCATAAAATGTCCATGTGACCACTTCGATGCATCTTCAAAGGACTAAAAGAGCTCAGTGTGGTTTCTCTGTCCAAAAAAACAAATGAAGAAACCTGATTGCTGGCACAAAAAAATAAACTGGTGCTTTTGAATAGAAACTCCCTCTAAAGCAGAACACACACATTGACAAGAAGATCCTAAAATGCGTTCCTTCCGTGCAACAATAAACCACTACAGCTTAGAAGAAGTTACAGAGATTCCTATCTGACAGCGGGAAAGTGAGGTCTTTGAGTTCATTGCTTGGTGTGTCCCACAAAATGAACTCACGTCCTAGAGTGTTCTAGTGTCCTAATGTGGCCTCTTTTCTTCTCTTTCTTCCAAATCCCCGTCTACAGATCCATCAGGAGAAACATATGGAGAGCATATGTGTCTAGTCACATTCTTCAGCATACCTGACCCACCACAGACAGACCCAGGATACAACTGACCTGTCCCAACAAGAGGGGACAACGTGCCCCCCATTCACTACCTGGGGTGTGTGTCCCTCACGATGCTTTCAGGAAACGCACCCGGAGTTGTCAGCCACTGACTCAACTCGACACTGAAAAGACCCACTCTGTCTCCTGTTTTACCCTGACCAACATTATTTTAACCAGAATAATGTGAAAGAGCAAAAAACTGAGGCCTATTAACACTTTTGCTTATTAATTCAGCTGTGAACCATTTAACCATTTTCATCTTCCAACCTCACGCAGAGAGAGTTATGTGTTAGCCTATAAAGAGTTTTTCTTAAATATATATTTTTGAAGAGTTAATTCTTCACCCAAACATGCAGTCTTCCATTGTTTACTCACCCTCATGAATGCCGTTGTTTCAGCTTACGAATTACTTCCTAGGCCTACTGGATATTTCGCGAATCAAAAGTTAGGTTCAAATGACGTAGACTACTTATTTTAAGTTTTCTGAAGCCATTTTTGTGACGACAATTTTGAATATTGGCATGTCTTTAGCACTGATAATCTTCCGCTTGTTTGACTGACTCGAGAATTGGCTCAAATGATTTGTGAACAAATCGTTCAGACTTGTTTTGTCAACTGTCAACCGATTCATCGAAGTTCCGATACAAAAGAGCGATTCAGTCAAGCATATCATCCATAGTCTCTATGTAATATGAAAATAACAACCTTTCTGCTATAGTACACAAAAAATTGACACATGATTATTATTTTTCAATAAATTGCTGTAGTAATAAGTCGACTGTGACGTTAATGGATGCTGAGTCATTCTTACAAATTATGAATCAACAGCTGAATGATGCTAACATCACAGTCATTTACTGCTTTGTTTTACTGTGAATTCAATTGATAAAGTCTTTAACCAGTCTACTGTAAGAAATTGTTTACCATTTGCTCGGATGTAACTTTTATATATGCTCGGGCTATTTCTAATATAGCAAAGTCGGATGATGACAAATGCAAACATTTGTTGAATAGATGACACGCAAGAATATAATTAATCAGCTGATTAGTCAAACTATTCTTAGTGGATATTAATATATTTTACATTAGCATTATTCAAGCATGAAGATTTACCAATACTTCTTTCAAATACATAATGTAGATCTTTCACAATAGCAACTGCTGCAATAAATATGGAAACATCTCTAAACAAAACATACCAACACAAACTGCTAATTTCAGCAGATAAAACCAACGAATATATGTAAAAAAAACTCTACACCATAATCTGTTCATGGTGCATTGCATGCTGGATACCTTCATAAACATAGTAGCCTACATATGCACTGTAGAAATGATGTTATTTGTTAACAGTATTTTTTGTTTTATAATACTGACTGACAGTAAAACCAAGCCATTTTACAGTATAATTGTAAAAAACTTGACAGAAATTGCCAGTAAGTGTATCTAAATTGTTGGTTAAATTGGTTAATGTGTACCTATGCCTTGATAACACATCTAGATTTACAGACGCAGAATAGCTATTAGCCCATTTCCTGTGAGGACACTGTTATGTGAATTAATATCAGACACACTCATACACACTCATACTCATACTAAACAGTAAAACACAATACACAAACGTTTTTTCATATATTCATACCTTTATATACAATTATGGCTTCATATAAAAGCTGCAATTTTCCTTTTGTTGACTGAAAATCAATTCTTCATCGCTGTTTAATTACATTGCAATATGATCAGGCACTTCCACGTAGAAGTCTAAAAAAAGCATGTGGTTCTGACAAGGACTGTACGATGAGTGTATGTTTCTAATGTACAATCGGCTACAGTGGGAACACATCTCCCCATCTCAATAAGGTCACGTCAGACAACATTAGAATCAGCAAATACGAATAAACTTCACTAACACGTTTAAGACAAATTCATAATAAGAAATTAGAGTCAAAACAAATGACATTTGTGATTATTAAATAAGACAAAGTCAAAGCTATTTACATGTTAAAAGATCCAAACAAAGACTCACTGTCAGTGATACTTAAAAACATATACAGGTATGATCAAATAACAAACACACAAACAAACAAAAGCATACTTTTAATACTTAAAGTAAATTAAAATTGCTATAAAATGCAGATAGTTGTTTTATATCTGTTAAAAATATATATGTTTAAAATATTCTTTATAATTTACAACCCTTCATGGTCTCACTGTTTAGATAGAAAATCTCTCACATGTTGAAAATCTCAAAGCATTAAATATTTTGTAGATGTACAGACATGAATGTGTACGACATTAGAACACATAGAAAAGTCTTAAATTACATTAAATTATCATAGAATTTCTGTCAAATACATAAATTGAGAAACATTTTTAAGGAGGCCTTTAGCCCGACACCCTCAAACAGACACGACATTAGTCTAAATTAAATGTGACCTCTGTTAACTTCACTCAGGATTCTAGAATCTTAGCATAGCTAATTTTAGATTTGTTCAATTGTGCCATTATGACGAACAAGACAATGACAAATATACAAATAAATAAATTTGTTTACCCTAAATATATCCAGAAAAGAAGATAAGTAATTATTGAAACATGTTTTCAAACATATGTTAAAAATGATTAATTAAAATAAAAAATTTTGAATCATGAATATCATGAAGTTTTCTTGGGGTTATACTTTAGTTTATACTAAATAAAAAAAATCAATGGCCTTTTAAGACTATTTGCGATCATCTCAGATATATATATATATATATATATATATATATACACACACATGATTTTAAATTTAGAAATTGAAGAAAAAACATCACATACCTGTCCTAAAAGCCAGTTTGTAAGAGGGGAAGGCACAAAGTACAAATTATTGTATACAGTGATACAAATTATTGTATACAGTGAAAGAATTCATCCAGCAGTTTGAGAAAAACTATTTTATATAAACAGCAACCAAGGCCACAATAACGAATAGTTTTTTTTTTTGACATTTAAAGGCTGGGAGGGGTCTTCGAAGAGCATTCAAATTGACCAGTAAGAAGCTTAAAAGTGTACAAAATATAAACATTTCATTTACCATCCCAATAGTACAACAAAAATATACATCTCTGTACAAAACGCATTTATTCAGCACCCTGAAATGACAATGATAACTGTAATGTGCACTATACCGGACATTAGCACTCCAGTTGACATGACAAACTTCTGCCCTGAATTCATTTTAGTGACCTGCTTTGCCAAAACTTATACCAACTAGACACAAATATACAAAAAATCCATGTGAATTTGTGAGTGTTTGATGAGACCATTTATGATTAGCCAGCTTCAGTATTTACACTCTGACTAACCAAAAGCAAAAAAGCAGGTTACTTTAACATTAAAAATTTACATGTACTGTAATCAGTAAATAGTGACCATTCACTGGCCTCTGCTGATAGGCTGCAGAAGAGTAAGGTATATGGCTGAGGTAAACAGTTCATGAGGTGTATGCACACACATCAGAGAGAGAATATGGTAATAGTGACTAAAATGAGTCACACCAGTCTCTTTTATGAGATATATAAATTTGCAATTCTGAGAAATAAATGCAGATTTTTTTGGGGGGGGGTTGCAATTTTGAATTGGGAGAAATAAAATCAGAACTGCAAAATATTTATATGCAGTTATGAGAAATAAATTCAGAATTGGGAGAAATAAAAAAAAAATTGGGAGACATATTATACAATCGCAACTAAGAGAAATTAGGTCGCTATTTGTGAAAAATAAAGTCACAATAGCAAGATGGTCGCAATTACCGTAAATAAATTCGTGCTAAGTTTATGCTTAAAAAAGTGGCAAAAAAATCTGTTTTTAATTGCAACTTTCATATTATTTTTTACTTCTAATTATTTTATTTTACACTTTTGATTATTGAGTCATTGTAGATGGAAAGGAATAAAGTAACAAATCTCTCTTGTAAGTGTAGCCTTTGGGTGTGACCGACAGCATTCAGTCTGCTTCACTCTTAGAAGAAATGGTTCTATTTAGAACCAGAAGTGGTTCCATCCCCCGCTTCATATATGGAACTCCAAAATGGTTCTATATAGAACCATTTTTTTTGGTAAAAGGTTCTATTGGCCAAGTAAGGAACCCCAGGGTTCTATATAGAACCCAGAGGAACCCTTTTTTTAAGAGTGTATAGAACCTTTTAGGGGTTCCAAATAAGTTGCACTGATAAAACCTTTTCTTCTAAGAGTGTTTAGTCAACTGTCAATTGACCTCCTATATGCCTATGACATATTTACACATATATTCACACACATTTGGTATGAAATCATATTATAGCTCAAAAACAGCTAATGTGTACAGTATGTGTTTGAATTAATTAACATGTTCATCCAGATACCCAGTTATGCGTGTTGGTCTTGACCCCGTGCGGGAAATTCTGTTGACACATGGGGTCGAAGTTGAAGTCCAGAGCATCGCCGTCCATGAGTGTGTCATGAAGGACGGTTTCTACGTCACACTCCAGTTGTTCGATCGACATGTCGTCCAAGTCACTGGGTAGCCGCTCTGGGTGGCTGTGATGGTGGTGATGAACCGGTCCGAGCCTGTGAAAACCGTTGCCGTTGGTGTAACTCGGCATCCCGGCCTCACCTCCGCCTCTTCCCAGCTGAACGTGATGAGGCTGGTGTGGTTGAGGCTTCATGTTACCGAGGCGAAGAGGATGACCGTGGGGCAACAGGGCACAGCCGTTCATGCCCATTGTTGGCGAGGGCAACTGGTGAAGCGATCGCGGGTGCGCGTGGAGGTGAGGATGTACAATCATTTTGCCCTGTCCCATTTGTCCCTGACTAGCATAAGTGGGTAGCACCCGTCGTCCTTCACCAGAAACCACCGACTCCAAAGACTGCATCAGGTTCCCTCTCGGATCGGCATCTGCGGTCAGCAGCTCTTTGAGCATCCCTGCAGCACAGGTGTACTGACTAACAAAGGGTCCATAGCCTCCTGGTTTACTGTCTGATAAAGTCGGTATGGCGATGGGACTCAGTCCGCCCACCCCGCCCTGTCCGTACAGGCACTTCCGGTAATCCTGCTGGACCTGGGGCTGAGGACACATATTGGGGGAGTTGTAGGACGGGTACCCAGGGCTTCCCTGCATCATGGGCGAGGACAGCGCAGATTGGGCATCTTGGCTGCCCTGGGTGTTATTTTTGGGTGAGATGAGGTTGAGGTTGTCTAAGAGATCGTTCATCATCACGTTGTCAGAACCGTGGTGACCCGCTACTTCGGACAGGCTGGGGAGAGGCCCACCCAGTTTGGTCCCTGGGTACCCGATGTGGACCTCGCCGGGTTCGTCCTCCTCGGGTAGGAAGGTAGGCGAGCGACGGCCACTGAGCGTGCTGGCGTCGGAGCTCGCGCGAGTACGAAAGGTGGTCCAGGGTTCAAAGTCGTCATTGCTGTGGGAGTTGGGGCTGCCGAGCCATTTTGGGTACTGAGAACCAGGACTGTTAGAGCCACCATCCAGACCACTCTGCAATGACATCTACAGACGCAAAACAAGAAACCATGAAAACCAACTGTATCCCATTACTGCACAGATATACATTACTAAAGTCACTCTTTCGCCGTGTCTACACTGGAAGTTGCACAACTATTTATCATCTCAAATTGTTCACCAACACAAGATTTGAGTTTGAGGTCACACATTATTTTAAACTGAACTTGATTAGATACAATTGAGTTGAAAAATGTGAACAATTAAGTTAAGGCATTGCAAAGTGACTCTCACATCCAGTGAATACAAAATCAAGAGTTTAAAAGAGTTGAAAACAAAAGATAATACTTTTTTATTTGAGAATATACACTCACCTAAATGATTATTAGGAACACCTGTTCAATTTCTCATTAATGCAATTATCTAATCAACCAATCACATGGCAGTTGCTTCAATGCATTTAGGGGTGTGGCCCTGGTCAAGACAATCTCCTGAACTCCAAACTGAATGTCAGAATGGGAAAGAAAGGTGATTTAAGCAGTTTTGAGTGTGGCATGGTTGTTGGTGCCAGACGGGCCGGTCTGAATATTTCACAATCTGCTCACTTACTGGGATTTTCACACACAACCATTTCTAGGGTTTACAAAGAATGGTGTGAAAAGGGAAAAACATCCAGTATGCGGCAGTCCTGTGGGCGAAAATGGCTTGTTGATGCGAGAGGTCAGAGGAGAATGGGCCGACTGATTCAAGCTGATAGAAGAGCAACTTTGACTGAAATAACCACTCGTTACAACCGAGGTATGCAGCAAAGCATTTGTGAAGCCACAACACACACAAACTTGAGGCGGATGGGCTACAACAGCAGAAGACCCCACCGGGTACCACTCATCTCCACTACAAATAGGAAAAAGAGGCGACAATTGGCAAGAGCTCACCAAAATTGTACAGTTGAAGACTGGTAAAATGTTGCCTGGTCTTGCTGAAGGCAAAAGAGGGTCAAACACAAAATTAGTGTTCCTAACAATCCTTTAGGTGAGTGTAAACTGTACATCTGAATAACTGAATAAATAACCGATTACAGAATTTGTATGTTTAGTTATGCATGCAGTAGTTTAAACTAGCACACAGAGAATCTTCAGATTGTTTTCTCCTCAACTGACCTTTTTCTTGGCAGCTCGTCCACGGCTCTTGGTGAACTTGCTGTTGTTGTCCATGGAAGTGGCCCTCCGGCGTGGAGACTTGCCACTCTTTCCCCCCTCAGGGTTCAGCATCCACCATGAGCTCTTCCCTGTTCCTTCATTCTGGACGCGAACGAAACGACTGTGCAGGGACAGATTGTGTCTGATTGAGTTCTGTCAGGCGGAGAGAGAGAACGAGATGGGAACATGAAAATCTTGAGTATAGATGTCATACTGAAAACCAAACAAAATAAGTGGAAATGACCTGCAATCAACAAATGTCATTAAATCTTGCTTTGTGTTGTAAGACACAATGGAATGCATTAAACCAGTCAGATTTTCCAGATAAAAACAGTGACTTTTGATTGACAAAAGCCAATATTTTGACAGACAAATTGCTGTGAGAGTGGTTTAAGGTTTAATGCATTGATAAAACTTAAAGAATGACAGATATCAATCTTGTTATCTGTTACCAATTCACACGCACCCAATCACAGATTTTAATTCAAATGTTTTGAATGAAAGTGAAAAAAAATGCAGATTTATTTTACAGCCGTCTTTGATCATATTTACCAAGGGTGTGAATAATTTTGACCACAACTGTGTACAAATATTATTTTCAGAGCCTTGCGATAAAGTAGAGGAATTGCCATTTAGCCGGCAGAGGAAATTTTTTATTAGTCATGTCCTTTTTCGGAGACGCACACTGAACATATCCTGCACTAATGATATTTTGTCTTCTTTGGTTTTTCCATTCACACCCTGACTAGACCTGCACCTAAGAAACAGGAAGAGAGACTAGCACTACTGTGTTTTACTACCTCGATCTTAAATACAGACTACACGGCTCTACATGTAAAAACGCTTGAGATCTTTCAAAGGGAACGAGTTTCTGCCTGTATTCTTATTGATTATGCGTCATTAAAACATTCATATGGACTAAGTCTTTTTGGAAAGATCAGTACTTAACAGTTTAAGCAGTTCGACTGTACTTATCAATGCAAAGTAGATTGTTATTATACTTTAAGTAAAATATTTTATTGAACAATGTCATACAGGAAGTGACCAAATCAAGAGGTACTTTACTGGCGGGATCAACAGTCCTGTTTCCTGTGTAGCAGGAAGTAGATTGGTAGGAAGAGGGAAAGCTGAGACTCAAGCCACAGAGGGAGGTCAGCAGGAGGTCACCTCCAACCTTTGATCCTGAAGGTCATGACCATAGAGGTCAAGTTATGGGAAACACAGCTTCCACATCACAGAATCTGAGAACAGGGTGGACTGCATGGATTTGAACAGAGTGAATGTAAAACACACAGTCTGGATCTTCTGTCTGGGTCCTGAACACTAGTAAGTAATTACCAGAGGTCAACTGACCTGTTTAACTGGCCCTTGCTAGGAAGAGTCGCGGAAAGGATGCTGAGTGAGAGGAAAAGGAAGAGCTGGAGGAATAGAGATAAAATGAGAAAGAGAGGTACCACTACCAGTATGGAAAAGTAAAGGGGTTGAGACAGAGGCGTGGACGAGTGTGTTGAGGTAGAATGTTTTCCTGCTGAGAGGGATGGGGTCGATGAGTTCGCTGCCTGTGTGTAGAGAAGGACAGGCTCTCCAGTAGTGCTAAGAGACCCTTGCATACACACACACAGTGAGAGTAATAACGTATGGGGCTGTCTGGCGTCTGTCTACACTGTAACACAACCCCCACAGCACAGCCTCGCTCCACCCGGAGAATGAGAGAGAGAGAAACACTGACAGACAAAGGGAAATCACAAAAATAGAGCTATATGGATATTCAAATTTTGTCTGATACTGATAGATGATAATTATGCTCAGGCTGATAATCATTAAAAGGGCCGATATAAAAATTCTATACTATTTGTCCATTACTTTTTACTTTAAATAAATAAAAAATAAAACACTACAAATTAAAATAAATTTTAAATGCTATCTACAGTAAACATTCAAAAACAATAATGTAAGGTATGAAATAGGAGATTACATTAAACAGTGTTTTTAAATTATTAGTGATTTTAAAGTGCTTTTAAGAACTTTAAATTGGCGGCGATAGCCTCGTGGACAGCGTGCCGACATATAGAGCCGTCATGCTTCCGGAGAACCGAGTTCGAGTCACGGACCTTTTCCGATTAAGCTAGTATTAGATGACGGCAAAATAAATTTAAATATCTGCAGATAACCAAAATAGTACAATTATATCACACATCCCTAAGAAAAACAACAAGAAAGAAAGATAATAGTACCCTAAAATGTGAGTGTTTTTCGCATACACTTAATTTGAATAAAATGTAACAATTCAAAAAAAAAAAAGATTATAAGTGATAAAGTAATATGCATGTTTTTCAAATTTTAAACAAGCCGTTCTTAACCATAAAAACATTTTTTAAAGACATTTTTTTTATTAATTTTAATCTTTTTGGGGGTTTTCCAGACTACCAAGTTTGCTGTACTCAAATAATAAGCACTTAAAATAGTACTTATAATAATTCGACAGACAAAATGCTTTCTCTGTAAACTCTATACTACACTCCCCCTATAAAGGAAGGAAGTAAAGAAAGAAAGAAAGAAAGAATTTTGTGCATGTTCCAGTGTAATCGTGCATAAATTCATCAAGTCATATTAGCAGATCACATTCAGAGCACATGTGCACACACTTAGCACATGGCAGGATGTGAGTCACTTCAGGAATGTGACGAGGAAGGTGTCATTTTTCTAATCAAACTGGAGATCACTTGTTTAAAAAGACTAAAATAACGCTGATGCTCGAACAGTAACGGGTTCAGGTATGGCTGTTAATTTGCTCAATACCCTTAAAATAGATCTTAGGTCTTTGACTACTGATCTGAGGTCAGCTTTAGACAGTACAGGAAATGAGTAATAGCCACATCTGCATGATATCTGCTCCCCCAGAAATCAGAAAAAGGCTGTTTAGATTTCTGCAAAGATTCGAAAACAGACACATTGATGTGTCAATTCAGCTGTGCCAAGGATGCAAATCCTGTTTAAATGCTCACAAATGCAAATTATATTTGAGAGTTAATTTTATTTGAGTTAATTTAATTTTATTTGTTTATAATATTATAACAATATTTGAGTTTCATTTTGTTCCCCACACAGATCTACTACTGTACTTTATAGCTTCAAAGATTTGAAAAATAGTGCACAAGTCATATGGATTACTGTTGGAATAATGAAAGAATTAAATTTTTGGGTGAATTAAACCTTTTTCTAATAGATGTATCAAATTTACCCTCCACAGTCCGTGTGAATAGCAGTTTCTGTGGTGCCTAGCTCTGGTCTGGGATCAGCACATGTGACTTCTATATGTGGTGTGGGGCCTTCACCTCTCTCTACCCCTCTTATCACAGGTATGAAAGCTACATGATGACCTTTGAAGTCAGATGTGGGATATTCCCAACTCATCTGAGACCATAAAGTAAAGTGTGCATTAAAATCCCCTTTAGGTAAGATTTGAGTCAACTGACGTACGAGACGAAAAAATGTGGACCAATGCACCAATTTCTACACAGATTGGTGGGAAGTGTGCTCAGGTTTGTGCAAACTGAAACTCGTCTTATTTGAGGCTGTTACTGGTTTGTCAGGCAGAATGAATTCCACGATGAATAAATTAATATCGAAGCATTGCCACTCAAATTATATTGTGTAGTTATTTCTTATTACAATAAAAATATTCAATATTTATATTTAAATACACACAATATTTAATATGTTTTAGTCTATACATATTTATATATTTTAAATAAAATTAATTTAATTAAAAACTACAACACATTAAAGCTGCAGTCTGCAGTTTTTCATTCTCTGTCGCCATCTCTGTTTGAAATCTGCAACTGCACTAATTCGCAGAATTATCAACTTTACGTGAGTTGTACATCGGCACAGCACAGCGCGGATGAATTCAATGTTTTATAAGAATTTTACACAGGAATTACATAAGAACTGCAATTTGAACAAGCAAGCAACATCCACTTTTGTTCTTCTGACCAAATAAGGGGAAAAATGCATTGCAGTAAATCGTGTAGATTAAATCTAACAATCGATTATCATATCAAGTCAAACCATGCAAATTATACTTTGTTCCGAAATTGTTAATGTTAACAACATCAGCATTGCGTGACTATATTTAATGCCCTTACGATATTTATCCTGGCTTTCGCATGGGCCGGTTGCAGTTTTTTTTTCTCCAAAATTTTACAGCGGGTGAATCTGTTGTTACTCGTGATTGTCGTTCTGAATTGGCCATCAAATTAATAAGTTTAATTTATTTAGGATAATTTTTAACGCAATAAAGTTACGGACTGGAGCTTTAATTAAATATAATTAAGATGAAAAATAATTCTAATTAAACTGATAATTATTATTATTAATTCATTAATAGAAATATAAACTGAGTTCAATGTTAATTAAACCATCGGTCAAATGACATTGAGTAATTTTTAATTAAACTATAAAATTACTTGTGTGACACAATATTAATAATAATTATAAATAATATGGCAAATTGGTAAACAGAAGCAAATTTGCTTGTAGTAGCAGGTGCAGTGGCAAATAAGTGTGTGTGACTGTAATGGTGTGTGAAAAACACATTTCTGAAGTGATAGGTGCCAATAAGCCGTGCTTAAGTGGTCACTGTGTTTAAGTGTGTGTATCTGTGTGTGCATGTCAGATCTCCTGAGGGATTTATAAACAAGTCCGAGATACCCCATCTGCATCCTGTCTGACACCCCAGACAGCACACACACACACACTGACTGCCACTCAATAACAAGCAGACATCATTAATCAGCCATCACCTTCACAACATAACCAAACCAACCCGCTCTCACATGTGTTCAAAGAGAACAAAGCTTTCAAACTGATCACTTCATTAGAAACCAAAAAAGTAATTAAGTACCTCATACCACCTCTGTATCCTTTGTATTGTGTATTTCCCAAGATTTTCTAATATGGCGCAGCCCATACCCCCATAAACAGCCTCAAAACTGTTCTTCAGAAAGTCTATGGCGCTTTAATTTTAAAAGACGCTTAAAGTTAATAACGGGAAAGCTCTAGCTCGGGCAATGGACTTGCAGTGTAGACATGGTGTAAAATGCTCAACTGAGAACACATTGAAACAGTGGCGCCAGTGGATTGGACAAGTC